GTGGCTCAGGCCTACAATCCCAGCACTTAGGGAGGCCAAGGTGAGAGGACTGCCTGAGCCCAGGGGTTTGAGACCAGACTAGGCAACTTGGCAAGAGCTCATCTCTACAATAAATAAAAAAAATTAGCCAGGCATGGTGGTGCACACCTGTAGTTCCAGCTCCTTGGCAGGCTGAGGCAGAAGGATCGTCTGAGCCCAGCAGGTTGAGGCTGTGGTGGCTGTGAGCATGACACTTAACTCCAGCTTGGGCAAAAGGGTGCGACTCCAACTCAAAAAACAAAAACAAACCAAAAAAAACACACAAAAGCAATACTTAGACATGCTTTAAAACTATAAAAAGTGTTTACTAAAAAGTTTCATACCAAAATATTAAAAAGTATAAAGATTTCAAACCAAAGCCCACTTTTTAATAGCCTTAGCAAGAGCTTAATTGGAGATTTTGACAATTACTAGTGGACAGAAACACAGTTAGAAAGGGACTTCAAAGGTTATTTATTCCTTTTCCAGACCTTCAAGCAGGACCATAATCAAACTATTCTCAGCAGAATAAGCGTATTTAAAGACACCCAGTGAAGATTAAACCATCCTGGAAAACCACCCCTGTTTTCTAACTACTCTCACAATCTATGCTTTGAATTAATCTGGGAAATCCCTGTATATACCAGACTTGTACTGGGTAAGGCATAATGTCCTCGAGTCTCCTGTATATAAGTATTGCTATCACTGGAGAGAAAAATGTTTCATGTGGAGCACATTAAAATATATACATATTTTCATTTACAAACAGATGCCCAGAGATCAGTGAAATCACATATAAATCAGCTCTGAAATGAGATAGAGTCAGAAAATCAAAGAACGTTGGTGCTCTTGGGATCCCAAATTATCTGGTGGAACTTCCCGTTTGCCCGAAGAAGAAAACAAGGCAAGTATACACTGGTATTCACAGCCTATAAAATGACACTTCATAGCACTAAAGGAAGCTTCCTATCAACAAATAATTGATTGATCCTGTTGTAATGTAGCCACCACCCTGTTTATCTGCTTCACGTTGTCAGGTCAAGTCCCAGAGAGATTGGCAGTGCTGCCACAAGGAAGAGGGAGCTTTCACCCACGAAGCCCTCAGGGCTGACCTCCATTAAAGTAATTCATCTTCTTGAAGTCATACACATGGTATTAACACCTTGTGAGATAAGGGGAAGGTGGGAACTCGCCTGAGCTCAGGGCAGACAGGTTGGCCTGACTCCTCCCACTCCAGTCTGTAAACGACCTCTGGAGAACTGTTCTCTATGAAAGACGATCATTGTGAACACTGAGAATATCTATAAATGTTGAGAAAATCAAGTGTCAAGGATTAATCCAGAGGGGTCTTTCTAGGCTACTGTTAGATTTACACGAAATAGACAAACAGTAGTTAAAGGAAAGATCTCGGTGGCTGAGGAAAGACCCATCATCAGGTCTTGGCCTGGAGTCTCTTCTCTTCAGCAACGCACTGGTCTGCTGGTTTCCTCAGTATTTTAATCTCTCTCGTAATAAATCACAATGTAGGGAAAAAACCAGACCACCTCACATGCATCACCGAAAACCAATCCCTCATCTCAGCTCGATGTCAAACCCTACCCGTCCCATCTTGACTTCTTATCCACAGCGGCCATTCCCGATCCGTCGCTGGCCCCCTTAGGGACCACAAGCCTGGGCGCTCTTGTCTTCTTCCCACCCCCCTGTAAAGTACCTGCATCTGCCCGCGTTCCTCCCTTTCTCAGTGTGTCCACCCATCAGCACCAGCACTCCACCTGGGAATACAGCTGGCACTCTGCAGACACGAGTCAGGCGTGTCAAGCCCAAGACCACCTCTCTGGCCCTGCTCATCTGGCCCTTCCTCCACCTCCAGGGCCGTCTATCGGGGCTCTCCATCTCCGACATCTTCCAACATTTCCTCTAGGTTGGCTCGTTCCCTAATAGCTTGATAGCATTCTGCCAAAAACAAAACAAAACAACCCTGCAAACTTTTTGTAGTTACTGTCTCATCTCTTTCTTCTCTTCATGGGCAAACTCTTCTTGAAAAAGTATGACTGGAAATTTTACACTAGGGAAGTGCTGCTGAGTAGGGCAATTAAGCTAAAGTTCCATTTAAAAAAAGCATCCTTAACTTTTAAAGATACATATTGATAACATTACACACACACACACACACACACACACACACACACACACACACACACACAATAAACACATTGAAATAGTTACAGACAAAAAGATGATATCTGAGTTTAGCTTCAAAATCACCCAGTTGGGTAGTGGTTTTAGATGAAACAAAGTTGTTTCCGTGTCTACTCTTCAAGCTCGCTGACAGTTACGCTCTTCTTTTGTCCATGTATTATTATTATTATTTTTTTTGAGTCAGAGTCTCACTTTGTCGCCCAGGCTGGAATGAAGTGACACGCTCACGGCCACCACAGCCTCGAACTGCTGGGCTCAAGAGATCTTTCCACCTCAGCCTTCCAAGTAGCTGCTGTCTATGTATTATTATGGAAATCCTAAGCACTTTTCAAAGTAGCCTACACTCACTGGTTCCCCTTTATTTTTGCAGAGTTTTGAAATGATTTCTCACCACGAAGTCCACCGGACACTACTCAGTCCCTCCCTAGGCACCCTGCCACTCCTACTCCCCCATCTCCTGGGAATTGGCTGTGCTCCCTCCCACTTCTTCCTCCTCTCTGCCACCCTGCCTCTCGCCTCATTTGGGGGCTCTTCCCCAAACACACACACACATCTTAGACGATGCTGCTTCTGGAAAGTTCCACATCAAACCTCTTCCTTTTTCTCATCGGGTCTCCCCTCCCCCCAGGTAAGCCGGCCCACTGTCTCCTGTCACTTCAACTAATTACCCAGATGCAAACTTGTGTCTCCAGCCCTGACATCTGGAACCTTGAACTGAGCTAATGATCGTTATCCTTCACCTGACAAAAAGCCATCTCCCTCCTCTCAATCAATGGTTGCACGATCTTCTCAGTCCTTTGTCTCAGGCTTCCAAACCTAGCTCCCGACCTCCAAACTCCTGATTTTTCCTTTCGGTCTCGACTCTCTTTTGTAACTCCAACCGCTCAGTTCAGTCTCTTCATTTCTCTTCTGGACCTTTATTTCTAAAATGGGTTCCTCCAGCACCATGCTAATTGTTCCTCCTGGTTTTAGTCACCTCATTGGAGCTCAAGTTTTCCTTCCTTCCCTGCCTCAGAGCTAGAGTTGTCTCTCTTTTTTTGAGACAGGGTCTTGCTGTTACCAGGCTAGAGTGCCGTGGCAAGAGCATGACTCACTGCAGCCTCAGTCTCCTGGGCTCAAGCATCCTCTTGGGTCAGCCTCCCAATGTGCTGGGATTCCAGGTGTGAGCCACCATAGGTGGCTTGGTGTTCTTTCTAAAATACAAACCCAACAATGCCGCTACTCTATTTGAAATTCTTCAATGAGTGCCCACGTGAAGAAAAATTTTGAATTCTGATCACGGTACCAAGTACTTTAAGACCCACCCTCTCCCACTAAGTCCAAGTATTCCGGGATCCGGTCGTGCAGAACTAGTGGAGTTCCCCAAACGCAAAATACTCAATTCTCAAATCCATCCTTTGCTCACATGCTGCCCCTCGCCTAGAGTGACTTTCTTCATCCTCTCTCCAGTCAAAGTTTATTCAATTGTCTTAACACAAGTCAAATCTCGCAGCAAACTGAGGACCTCCCCTGTGTCCTTAGAGTCGGGAGTTTTCTATTAATTGATAGGAAGAAATCATGACTTACATCAAGTTAAACCCACCTGGGCTGAAATCCCAGGTTCACACTTTACCAGCTATGATTTGGGACAAGTCTCTAAGCCTATTTCTTCAAGTCAAAATAACAGGACTTCACACAACTATTGTAGTAAATAAGTAGATGGATGCAAAATACTCTGATAGTGAAGTACTCAATAAACGTTACTGTTGTATGATTTTTTTTCCTTTCCACTCTAACTTGCATGTATCTCTGTCACACTTGTGATGACATGGCTGTTCGTCCATAAAAGACACAGACCATCTTCTATCTGCCTCTGTATTCCCACCACCTGGCATGAGGACTGGCACATAAGACATTCCTAACAAATTGTGAAGGAAAAAAACATTTCAAATCACTATACGATAGAGCAGAAAGTCTCCATTTTTTCCCCTACAAGTCCTACTAAACCTACCTTCCATCTCCTTCTTGTACAAAATTGCTTCTTTAAGTAAAATTTAGAGACCAACCTCATTTTCATTGGCAAAAAATAATTTTGTAGGATTCTTGGCCATATTTTTTGTTTCTACACACACATACACACACGCGCGCGCGCGCGCACGTCAACCCACAGTACTATTAACGGTTTTCCAACTTATTCCATAAAATAGCACATTTCTAGGATGGCTTATCTATCCATAGGAAATTGCTAAAGGGTTGCCAAGATTTTCTAGATCTGTATCTGCTTGCCTACCACCAGGCCTTGAGTCAACTCTAGGGACTAAGATGTACTTCAGAGCATTAAAAAAGAAAAAGAAAAAACTGAACATGGCATTTTTCATTCTGAGAGCATGCTCCTGAGAAATTCTGAAAGACAGGATTTAATCAAATAATAATTACCACCTACTGCTAAAAAAATAAATCTGTGCTTTAAAAGTTACCTGTTAATTTTAAGCGGAAGTAATCTTCAAAACAGAATCAAAATATGTGTAGGCAGCGTTCAGGGTGGTACCTTGGGGGGTGGGCTCATTTCACGACCTTGAACCTCAATACTTATAAAATGCAAAAATGCAAAACAGTAAAAACACCAGACATCACCATAGCACAGCGATAGCTTCTATCCACTTCCCCCCTTGACCTGCAAGCCTGTCTGCCCTTTGAGGAATTCCTAATTGATGGGTTTAATTAATGCAAACGCCTCTGAGCTACTTTTCAAGAAACAGGACCCAATCGCGAGAAAAGGGGCAGATGGCGTCAAGGAGAAAGGCCGGTTAAGATGCGGGTCCTCGGGTCTCCCGGCAAACGAGGGCCATACGTACGGTTCTGCACCGAGAGGCAGCAACCTGGGAGGCTGAGCGGCGCGGAGGCCGGAGGCCCTGCGGCGGGGGCGGCTGCTCATCCCCGGGGCTGTGCAGGGCGG